TTTCATATTATTTTTTTGTTTGAATGTATTAAGTCCATGCATTCATGCTTTATTTTACGGGATCTTGTGAGTCTATGCATGTGGGATATCATAGATCATTTACTTATGCCCCAATGAGTGTTATATATGGTGGGGAAACATCTAACGGGAATGCGAGGCTATCATGACCAGCTATAACAATTCAATAGGACCTTGATAAAAATCCCCTAGTTGAGGTGGTTTGGGGGTGTCATTATCGATGTATGGTCCCTACACTATTCGATGGGGTGGTCTCATTTCATTACTCGTAGGCTATTCTATATTCTTGATAATGATGAGGAGATTGGTACCGTATGTTGAGATGATGGAGACTGTTAGAGATGATGGGATATCTTGAAGACTCCTCAAGATTGTTTTAGTTTTGATGATGTATTATATAGATGTTGTTTAAGCCTATGCAAAAGAATATTGTATTGATTGTAATGGATATAGACAGTTAAAAAAAATAGAATCTACAGAGGTTCTACGCAAAAACTGACTTAGATGTATATATGCACATCTAAGTCGATTTTGAATAAAAACCGTCTTAGATGTGCACATATACATCTAAGTCGGTTTTGAATAAAAACTGACTTAGATGTATGTGCACATCTAAGACAGTTTTGTGAAAACTGACTTAAATGTATAAATATATCTAAGTCAGTTTTTACGTAACCAACGCAGATATGTTCATTCATCTACGACGACCTTGTCTAAGTCGATTTTAAAATCGATGTAGATATGGCAAAATAACCGACTTAAAATACAATTCTTCTAGTAGTGTAAGGCACCATTGATTTGGATTGGTGTATTTGGATTAGAACTTTAAAATCGTGATTAATAAATCTAAACATAAAAATAAATAAACATATAAATAAAAGACACAAAACCTTACTTATTCGCGAGTCACAAATCATGATGAAGAGAATGAAGCAACAATGATAGATTGGTCCCGAATTGGAGGAGACGAACATGAAAAGTGTTGAACCAAAGTTGTTTGTGTACATCTGACACTCCAATTTAGATGATAAAAAAGCAATAACCTTTAGAGGCTAATATTGTCGTTTTAAGAAATATGCATCCAAAGATGTAGAAGGAATAAAGAACAAAAAAAAAATGTTTGATTAAATAACTCTTTCTACAATCATGCTAAAATGAAACAAGTGTAACACTTAGTAAATGATCAACATTGTATTCAATGTATGCATTAAGATGAGCATTTGTGCCTTATAGGTGTTCACAATTTCAACGCTTGTTTGAAAGTTTTGTGCCTTAAATAAAAATATTCAAACGTTCAAAAAACATATGATAAGTGCTATGATAATCTATGGATATTATAAATATTATATCATGGTTATCATCGTGAATTGGAAAAATTATTTTACAAATCACGAATCATATCGTATTAAAAATCACAAGATACAAGATCAATAAAAATATAGTATTTTAAAAAGAATACACACACTAATATATCATCTATCAAGCTATGAATCAAAAAATAATTCAAGATCATAGTCATAAATAAAAACAAAAAAAATTAAAAGTAGTGATTGCACTAAGTTGAAGTCTTCAAGTTCAACCCTACATACAAAATATAATGCCAAAATGCAAAATACTATTTCTTACTTCTACACCCTAGTCTTATGCTTTCGTTCATCATCTCCAAGATCAATGTCACTTACTTCATCCATCCTTTAAAAACACGCTCAAGATAAGTAATAACTAATTAGGAAAAAAATCAAATAAAAAATTAAAGAATTAAAATTCAAAAAAATATAATAGAAGTGAAAAGTAACTAGGATTTTGGATGAGAAAAAAAAAAGTGATCATCATGATCAATATTTAAAATAAAATAAAAAAAGAATAAAGAAAAAGGTAATTGTGTAAAAGTAAAATAAAAAAAAATCATATTTAGGAGAGAAAAAAAACAATAATTGACTAGAAATACTACAATTGTTAGCCACACCAATGAAAAGAAAGTAAAATATTTATATAAAATTTTCATGTACATCACATGAATCGTAAAAGAGAAAAAAATTAAAAGTTCAAAAGCTAACATGACAAAATTAACCACAGCAGCGTGACGTCATGATAGGGGCCACAATTGACAAAAGTAGTGATTAGATATTATAAAATATGAAAACAATTTTTTTAGAAATGGAACAATCTCATTTTTCAAAAAATATGAGTATAGTCCATCATCTTTAACATTTGAATGGTTAATTTTTTATTAATGAAAATTAAAAGAGGCGCTTAATTTTCCTATTTTTCTCGGTTTTCCCCTTTTCAAAAGGTAAATCAAAAAAATTGGCTCCAAATTTGATTTTTTTTTTTTTTGAAATAGATATCACATAAACTTGGTTCGAGTCAACAATATATGCATTCTAGACGTCTAAATCATGAACAACAAATGGGAAATTGCAAAACAAACGATTCACAAGTGAATCGTGTAGTACAAGGTTTGATTCAGGTATATAAATGAATCACCTAACTATTGGTATCGTGGAGCATTCTTTTTGTATCTGTTTCATGATTTGAACCATATGATACATACGATTCTAAACATCTGAACAAGTGTTGAAGAATGACCATATTGGGAAGATCAAAGATCTCTTTTCAAATGACTAAGTGTCATGTCTCTCACCAACAACTATATCTTTGAAACCTATAAATACAAGAAGATTTGAAGATAAGCGAAGAACTTGTGAAAATTGTATAAATGCTCCTTAGCTGTGCAAAAACTCTAACAAATTAATCTCTCTAAGTCATAAATGTCTTGTAAAATCATCGTCCAATGGATAATAAAAGAAAGCCTAAGACTAGTCATCATTATCTAACAAGTTAACCCTTTTTAGAGTATACCTAAATATACATATCCTTTTTATGAGAATTAGTTGTAAACACTCAAACTTATTTTCCTTATAAGCCTAAGAGGCGAGTTAAAGAGTACCTGTTTAGCCAAATGACAAAGAGAAATATACTTGTTGTAGTTAGGAGTGACATAAAGAATACTTGTTTATAAAAGCTTTCAAGTTAATAGAATATTTCGAGTTCGAAAATAATTGGATGTAACTCAATTAAATGAACTAATATAAAAACATAAAGTGTTCTATTCTATGTTTTCCCTCATGCTTTCAAATGAACAATTTTTATAAACTTACATCTATTCATTTGCATAAAGCTTATAAAATACAACCACACGCATTCAATTTCCTTCTATGTGATTATTTAATCTTCAAAAAGGAGATGAGGGGTTGTGGCAAAAAGGAGGAGGATTAGTATGAGGAAAATGAGAAGGAGAAAGGTTGATATGAGGAGAATGAGAAGGGAAAGTTTTCTAGATTACTTAGAGTGAGGTAAGGGAAGGAGAATGAGTGTAGGAAGATGAGAATAAAGGTACTTTTGAAAAGAATAGGTAATAATAGATTTATGGGGTAAAATGAAAGGTGTAATTAGAAGTACTTGCTCATTATATATACATGCTTTAGACCCATAACCTTATGCGTGTAGCCTAGAAAAAGTGTTTGAAAGGTCTTAATAGTTTTGATACTCAAGTTTGAGATACCTTGGAAATATAAAAAATAATAAATTTTATTATTAAATACACCTCCATTAGTTAATAATACATCTCTCTTACTCATTTTATCTTTATTTATTTCCTGAATATCCTTTTCTAGAAATCATTTTTTAGAAAACAAATAAATACTTTCAAAAAATATTTTTCAGGAATATGTTGAAATGTAAAAATATACTATTAAAAAATATTTTCTGTAGAAGACTAAAAATATTTTTCTTCAAAAAAAATAATTTCTCAAAAATGTATTTTAAAAACTAGAAAGTACCTTTTTAGAATTGTAATAATAAAAAATATATTGTTACTAATTAATAATTAATTGGAAAATTAACAAGAGTCCCACTTTTTAAAACAATGTCTTCAAAAAAAAATCATAAAATTATATCTATATGTAACCAATCACTATAATAAAATAGACTTTTAGTGGCATTTAATATGACTTTTAGTGACAATAAAAATCGCTACAAAATCTTTTACCGGCATTTCACACATTAGCTATTGTATGCAGTGTCGTTAAAACATTTACCGGCAGTCAATGTAGGACTTGTAAGATGAGTACAAATACTCTTTAGTTACCTTATTTCTAATTGATGTGAGACTTAGAAGATGAAGGTTATCTTCTAAGTATATATTCTTTAATTTTTTAATTATCTTATCTCCTAAATACCAACTTAGAATAGTAAGTTATAGGCCTAACTCAACCTTATAAAACATACTTGTAAGGTGAGAGTTATCATTCACTTATATACTCTTTAATTATTTTATTTCCAGTCGATGTGGGACTTAATTTTTTTCTAACAAATAATTGTCGCTAATAGTAAATTTTGATATGATGTAAATATATTTTTAGTGGCCATTATATAATTGTCATTAATATTTTTATTAAATAATAAAATAGAGACAATTAATTTATTGACATTAAATAATTTTCGGTAATACTAAATTTTGTTGTAGTGAATGTTGAAGATATCATAAAAAAAATTAGAATTTAAATAATGTTGAAATAAAGAATACAAAAGATATTAGGGTTTAAAAATCATAAAAAGTGTTTTTGATAGCTGAAGAGAGAAAAAACAAAAAAAAAAAATAGAAGAATGAAGGTATGTCACCATAAGTGTGGTTAGTGAGGGAAATAGTAGTGAAAAAAAAATATTAACGAGGGGAAATGTTCATAACATTTGCCAAATAATAATGAGAACGACGTATTTCTTATCTCATTAATCACTAGTATTAAAATATGTTTGTTTGACTTGTCATACACCATTAAAACAGCCACGTTTTTAATCTGTTAACGTTAAATAAAATTAGGGTCATCATTATTTTTTTATTCTATCCCTTTGAACAAACTAAAAAAGATGCCTTGCTTCGTAAACAAATACATTTGTATGACTTTTTCCCTCATTGATGGTCACTTGAATTTAAAGATATAATTCCACACTATTCTCCAAGGTAGCCAATGCTATCTGCTAGTTCTCTCTCACTACAGTGGTCAAAAACACAAACCAGTTAGAGGAAATCATGGATTCAACTTATGACAGGAAAGCTGAAGTGAAAGCCTTTGATGATTCCAAAGTTGGTGTGAAGGGTCTTGTAGAGTCTGGAGTCACAAAGATTCCCCGCATGTTCCATTCTGGCAAGTTGGATACCATTCAAACCTTGGCCACTGATTCCAAATTGAGTGTCCCCATCATAGACCTCAAAGACATGCACTATAATACAGCTTTGCATGCAGAATTAATTTCCAAAATTCGAAGTGCATGCCATGAGTGGGGATTTTTCCAAGTCATTAATCATGGAATTCCAATCAGTGTGTTGGGTGAAATGATTCATGGAATTCGGAGATTTCATGAACAAGACAGTAAAGTAAGAAAAGAATTCTATACTCGGGATTTGAAGAAAAAAGTTTTGTATTATTCCAACATTAGCTTGTTGAACAGTGACCAACCCGTTAATTGGAGAGATACGTTTGGTTTTGCTGTTGCTCCTGATCCACCCAAACCTGAGGAAATACCATCTGTATGCAGGTTAGAGTTTAATTTAATTTGATAAAGTATCAGTTTAAAGATTTTTACAGTGTCAATTAGCAATTCTCTATTATGACTTCTTTTGAAAAAGTTATACTATTACAAAATTTAATTAACAATTTTCTATTATATGACAATCTATAATTGGATGAGAATATAAAAAAATCTTTATATTTTTTTAGTATTACAATTAAATTCTTTATAATTATATACCCCATATATATTATGAATATGAAAAGCTAAAGATAATGTTACAAGAAAAATATTTATTCCAGAAATTTAGTCACACTAGGTAGTTATACTTGTTACATTACATGACATTTAATGATGATCACAAGTACATTTCAGTTACGGATCCTGCTCATTTGAATTATTTATGTTTGTTGAGTTGATTACGTTTTTACAGGGACATTGCGATAGAATATTCAAAGAAAATAAGAGATTTGGGTTTTAGAATCTTGGAGTTATTATCAGAGGCTTTGGGACTTAATCCTTCTTACCTTAAAGAATTGAATTGTGGTGAAGGACTCTTTATTTTGGGTAACTACTATCCAACATGCCCTGAACCTGAATTAACTATGGGTGCTACCAAGCACACGGATGGTAACTTCGTGACTTTACTTCTACAAGACCAACTTGGTGGTCTTCAAGTTCTTCATCAGAATCAATGGGTCAATGTTCCTCCTGTTCATGGAGCTCTTGTTGTTAACATAGGAGATCTTCTACAGGTACATACTCCAAGTTATTATTGTTAAATATTAAAAGTTCGCATGCATTTTACTTTTGGTGTGTGTGAAACGTTTGATCGCATGCATTTTATAGGTTATTTGTATCAAGAATTTTGAAACAATCAAAAATCATAAAACAAAATTTAACATTTTTATTATTATTTTGGTTTAGCTTTAATTATACAAATTCTGAGTGAGGCCTGAGGGGAAAGGTTCATTGAAATCATCAATCACATGTAAAATATAAGTAGAGGGAATACGGACATGAAGGAATTTAATGATAAATAATATTGACAAGAATTTGGTTTTTAATTAGAATCGTGGGATATATATGTAGTTGATTTTCTCTAATGAGATAAGGTTGTTACCTTATTATATTCATGCTGGTGTTGAAAAATGTGGCATTATATTTTCTCAGTTTTGACTCGTAATGATTCAAAAGTATATATCTTCAGCAGCCACGTTGCAGCAAACTCTTATATTGGATGAAAATTTTAAATGAAATAATTTATTTATTTCAAAAAAATTTAAATTTTTTTAAATGAAATACTTTGTTTGGATGGAGAATTTATAAAGAAATTGAAATTTAAGCATATTTGTGATTTTTTTTTTATTTCACTTATATATTTTATCTTATTTCTTATCTTTTTATATTTTTAATTATTAAATATTTAAAAATATTTTTAAAATTATTAAATATTATTTAATATTAATTTTTAAAATTATTATCTCAATATATAAATATATTTTTAAAATCAAATTTATCATGGTCGAATCAAATTATTATATCCAACTCAACAATTTAAAATTTAAAAATTTTGAATTGACTTATCCAAATAAAATATTTTAAAAATAATAAAAATTAAAATTAAAATAATTCAAATATTAAAAATTTAAAATTCTATTTATAAAATTTCTTGTTCAAAACACACCATTAGATTTTTAATTAGGCTCAAAGTCAATCCAACGGACTTTTTAACGTTTGATAGTTACAGCTGAATATATTGACTTTTATTTAATTGCAGAGAAAATAGTGACGAAGTTTCTATGAAGTTTCTTTTCTTGTCATGTACTTTTTCCTATTCCTAACAGTTTTAGAAATAATGATTTTTCTCTTTGGTATGATCTTAGTGATAAACACGTTTCTTAAACAATTACAAAAATGGTTGAGTCAATCTTTTCTATTGAAATCTAAAGTATTGTCTATAAATTCTCCAACTATATCTACTGGCACATATTTATTTAATTATATAGATAACTCTTTATGATATATATTTCTTGATAGGAACCAACATTAACAGTTATAAAGAAGAAAATAAATATAGTGAATAATGTTCATACCACAACGACAGCAACAATCTAATAATGTCAACCCTTCGAAGGTGATGAGATCTAAACCTATTAGGGAAA